GGGGATTGATACAGCATATTATTGTGATATTTTACATGGGGATATAGTAACAACAAATATTGATATTTTAAGAAATAAACTGAAATACTGCAAATTAGAGGGCTCATCTCCCACATTGCCATCCTGAGATAATAATAGCCGAGCAAACTTACATTCAATCGGCTTGAATAAAAAACATCTAAACGAGCTAATGACTCAGTCACATAAGTGCAAAAAGGACAGCAACTTGCTTGCATCTACAAAAATAATAATAATTCATAAAAATGGTGGCTGACTCTTGATTGTATTGACTTTTTTCATATATTTTCAGTGACTGGAACTTGAGGTGAATTGTTGGCCACAGCTTGAGGGTGTTGCACGCTCAAGACCATTTGTGATTCCAAGGTGATTGCACAGGTCCCCTGATAGGAGTCAACCTTTCTGCAAACAGCTGCAGTCTGACTTGGACTGACTCGCAGAGCGAGTGTCAAGGTTTGCAAATAATTGCCGTCTAATTTATAAATGCAGACAGAAGCTCAACTTGAGGGGTCTTGACTCAACCCTGGCTGCCAGCTGGTCATGTTTCCATAGAAAAGGAAGACTGAGTACGTGTGAATTTCTGTCTGTGCAAACAGCAACAGAAATGTGATTTTCGATGATTTATCACAGAAGATGGCTGTATGGAAACTTGACGCCATTCAGTCGCAGACTGCAGACTGACTCATTGCAACATTTATGGCAGGTTTTAGTATCCGTGTTGCTGTTTGCCAAACACATTTTAAGTGAGTGAAGTATTGTGATTGTGCAGCGTTTTGTGGGGCGTCTGGTGATTCTTCTAAGAATTATGTTATCAGTAGGGTTGTGGATCTGTTACTGTTGTACTGACAGTAACACTTTTAAGTTGAACTTCTGTACACCGTGACACTGGATTTGAAAACATTCCTCAGTTGACCTCAGTTGAAAGATTTCCGTCACGTGTTAGACTAAACAGCGTCCACGGGAGGTACAGCAGTCTACCTTCCTTTCCACTTGAATTATTTTACAAGACAACTTTAACTATTAATATTAATTATCATTATGCTGAAACGTCGTGTCTGAATTTAATCTTAAAGTAAACATGCTGTCGTTATATAAATATTCCCCCAAAACACATATGAGGGTGTAGTTAGAGCGTTTTACGGCATCTATATTGACAGTGCTATCATGTATTGAGACACTAACTGTTAACTAACGATTGTTTGAACAACTAGGTGATGAAGCTCCTGTTTGGTAATATAAAATTCAACGAGTTCTCAGGAATTAGCCAGTTACTCATCAGCGCAGTATCAACCATGAAAAAGAGCGTTTTCCAGTGTTACAGAAACTAAAACTGGCATAAAGTGACCATGAGTTAAAGAAGCTACAGAAATGACCCCGATAACATTAAATAACAGGACTTCCAGTGTTGCTGGCGACATTTTCCGTTCCGTCTGTTGACAGGAAAACGCTTTCAGTTGTTGATACCATCAAATTTAAATACCTGTTCATGTAGTCCCAACATAATAATTTTACCTCACCTGTCAGTTTTCTTGAAAATATGTGCAAACAATTAATCCTTTTCCACCGGTGTCTGCCTCTGTACAACGCGGCCATGTTGTTATTATGAAAGGACCCAGAACGGGACGATGGTGGCTAGAGACATGCCTGCAAAGAAATACTGCATCATTATTACAACTGCGTTTCATTTAATTTTTTACGAGTAACGTAATAAATATTAATGAATTTAATGGTGTAATTTTGAAATAATCTTAATAATATAAACTATTAATTTATGTCTAATGAATAAATGTTCATACACGAAAATGGCTATTAATTTACATTTCATCCGTATAAGTCAAAATACGGAGGAAATTTCTTTGAACATACAGACTGTCTGCGTTAGGATTATTTAGTATTTCGTCAAAATGACTGGTAACCTGAACAATATTTAACTGAAAGAGATGCACTGTTTGGTTCAAATAAAATAAAACTAACTTTCATCTTCTTTATCAAATCTGCATCGTACAGTATAAATAAAAATGTTTAACATTTTTAATTTGTGCCTTAATTCACTTCACAATCAGTGCATTAGCAGTTTAATGTCTCTATTATTACTCAGTTAATTATCTCAATTACTGACATAATTAGGTTTGGCCACACTACGCCAGCAGGGGGCCCCCAAGACCACATGACATGCCATATTTTAGTGGGTTCTTGTAAAAGGTAATCATACCGGAGAAAGCACAATATTTTCGATAAATATGTTAACAGACAACTTAATGAGACTAATTTGATGATTTTCACGATTGTCACTGTCCGAGCTGGGCTCACGTTTATGCACAATCAAAAAAATAAATTAATTAAAAAAAATTGGTGGGCTGCAATATTAACTGAAAAGATTTGTCCCTCTCAGGAATTAAATACTATTTATTCATCATTAATGTTTACCATCAATAGCATTAGTTAACCAGAAGTGTCAAACAAACCTTCAGTTCAGTCACTGTGTGGTGAGCTTAGGTAATGTTTAAAAACCACAGGTATTATTGTTGTTACTCTCCTGTCAGTTCCTTAGTCAGACTGTTTCATTTATTTAATATCGTCTATTAAAAAACATTTTCTTTGTGATGCAAAAAATAATATTCAGGCCTTTTTTCAATTCTTTGCTTCTGTTTTGTTAATTTGTACACTTAAAAAACAATTAAAACAGTCAACTGGTTTTAAAAATTCATTGTCTGATGGGTTATTTCTTTCCAGAACACTACTAATCCACAAACCACTAAATAATGGTTGTATTAAATGCATAATGCACAAATTATCACGTATGCACGAAATGTTAATATTGGTGATGCTGGGGTATGCACTTTCTGATGGGTTTGGCTAGGGATGGGGGCCTTAAATGAAATTCTACTCATAAAACTTTGGGCTGGCTCTGGTCACATAAATAATATTAATATTACATACATCACACTTATTAGATTTTTCATGTGTGATCTGGAGAAGAACATGCAGTTATTTGTATCTGAATTAACTGACTAATTATCAGTTCAGGGTTTATGATAATACTGCCCCAGTTATCTACACCTTTTATTTACAAAGTGAACAGGATGGGGCTTTGTACTGACCCCCGTGGAACGCTGTTTGTGATAAACCAGACTGAACGACGTCAGCGACTATTGCATGAGTTCCACCAGAAAACTGTGAAGCTAGTTACATTTTTTCATGTAAAAATCAATGACTCTTAGCCCTCTGTAAAAAAAAATATTAGAGTCCACCGTGTGAACAATGCAACACTCCTGTTAGTCTAGAGAACAGATTTTGTAATTTTCTGTCTTACATGCTGCAGTGAAGGTGCTACATCATGCTCTAAAAACAAAAGTACAGTGTTCAGATAATAATTTTTCTGAGCACTAATTTATAAACCATTACCAATTGTTGTAACTTGTCATGTGAATTACTGTTCACAGTATAAGCGTGTCTTAACACCACATTAAAGCATATGCATAGTTAATGACACTAATGATGGCTATGAGATCTAGGATCCTGGTTGTGGTGCATCCTATGTAGTGACACAGCTTATTGAGAGGACTGAATGAGTTAATGTTATTTGTTCCACGTGTGCCCAGTGAGCTGCAAAACATCCTGTGTGAAGGGTGTATATGCACAAATTCCTTTGCCAAAGGTTAACATGTGTATGTGTACTTGACCAAAAAAAGTCCTGTTTTTCTGCATTAGTAAAATAGTGAGATCGTAATTTTTAAAAATGGCCTTCTTGTTCTGAATTCACACAATATCTTAAAAGAGATGGAGCCTCCTTTGACTTGAAAGCTGGATTTCATTCAGAATAAAGACCCTCTTGCTTAGATTGCTGTTTTCTTTGGGTACAGATTTAAAACACTAACCCCGGGAGATACCAGCATCTTTGTCTCTTGAACAGTTTAAGCTCTTGGTTCAGTTACAAATGGAAAACATTAATTTTGTAAGGTTTAAAAGAGGGACTCCCCCCTCATGTACCTCACAGTGGTTTGTTCCACTGCCTACAATTCCCTAAAGGATGAACAATGTGTGAGACACTATTTTCCTACTTCGTACAGGTAAATATGTTTACCATTGTAACCAGACTATGTCTTATTACAGCGCCATTATCTGACTTGTGCTTCACTGGGGCCCCATACTGTTAAAGGGCCGCTGGAGGCTGGAAGTCTGTGCACATTAATAACTTTATAACTCAATGTTCAACTGCTTTTGTTTGGTTCTTATTTTTGATATTAATTTATTTCCCACGGGTCTGTCCACCCCATTTCAAAACCTCTGGATATGGCCCTGCTTCTGAGCCTCCACATGGCTGGGCTAAATGCATTTTAGATGATTGGCCTTATAGAGCTTACAGAAAATGTCCAGTGAGCGGCAGTTCTCTGGGTGAAAATGCATCGTTGATGACAGAAGTCATAAAGGTCAGAGGAGAGTAGTCTGACTGCTTTAAGCTGACAGGAAAGCAACAGCAACTCTGTTACAACCAATGTGTGCAGAAGAGCACCTCTACACCATGACGTGCAGAACCTTGAATCAGAAGACATCAGTCAGCTAAGAACAGGAAACTGAGGCTACAGTTCACACAGGTTCATCAGAATTGGACAGTTGGTCAGATGAGTCCTGATTTCTGAGCACGTTCCTCATGTGCACTCACCGGACTCTCCCCATGTTTTAAATTATTATTGTGTTGAAGTAAATTTTAAGTTAATGTGAACATTCCTGGTGTAACAGAAAGCATTTTATCAGGAAGGTGATTTCAATACCATGATGAAATACATTTCGGAATTTTGCTATCCCACTTGGTATCAATAATCCACTCAGTAATTTTCATTGAAAATATTTCTTTGGTTGAAAGGTAGTTCCACAGTAAAATTTTCCCTGTGAGAATTAAATGAAACTCCGATGTGAGTGAATAACCTGGGTGGATTCATCACACATGATATAAAACAAGACTCGGAGCAGAGCAAAGAGTTCTTTCCAGGCATGATTTATTGAAAACACACCAAATTTATATTCTACAAACCAGTATTTTTCCGTTATGTTTAACAAGCGTAATAATTGCCTCTGGGTATTAGTAAAATTAACATACATTCTGTCACTGTGGCATCGCCTCTGCTCGCTACGAAAGCATTAACAACTGTACTCCTCTAGGAAATCAAACCAATTCTTCCAACGAGTCTATCTTTTTAAAAGTTTATAATACAATGTAATAGAGGGCAGAAAGCCACCAACAGTCTAAACTACTCAGGGGCTGGGAGTGGGTGAGGGTCGGGCTGGGTGTGGTGGTGGTGATGATGCAGGATCCATGAAGTGATGGGCGGAGTCGAGGGAAAAATGAGAAGAGGGGCTGACAGGGGGGGAGGAGAAGGTGAACATAGGGAATGGAGAGATGACAGCTGAAGGGGAGGAATAGAGTTTATATAAAACACTTATCTTTATCTACCATGGAAAAGGTTAAGGCACATGATAGGTACAAACACATCTGCTACTGAGTAGTACAGTTACTTTATTTTGACGGTCTTGATTCAGATATATCTACACAGGTAGGCCTGTTTGATTTAGTGTGTGTGTGTGTGTGTGTCCATGTTTATTTTGTAAATGTACATAAGGGCAGCACATCCACAAAACCTAAACCCCCTGTTTTTTTTTTAAATGTGTGTAAATACAACTCCAGATCCTTTGGTTGTGGCACTGCGTAGTGCAGTTAGGAACAGACAGTCATGTGGGTCTAATGACAGCACACACGTCTGAGGACACACACACACGAAAGGGATGCTGGGTATTATCGTGTTTTCTTTTTTAACTTGTGAAAATAAAATTTATACAATAAGTTGTTTGTTTTGTAGTTCATTGATTTTTACCACAACGTACATCTTTATAAACACTGTGTAAAATATGCAAGCTTCATAGAGTCACATACGTCACAAAGAAAAGTCATACTTGAACGCAGGCACATGCCATTCGCCTTGATGACGCACGAGTGAAACAACCTCAGATTGGATTCTCTTCCACGGCCCTTTTCTTGCATCTCAGCTGCCCACCCTGTAACGCTGTAAAAATATATACTATATGGTCAAACTTGATGTTTGAATTTGTACAGAGGGATGCAACCTTCTTTTGTTGTTGTTTTGCCTCTAACCACACCTAATCATCCACCTGCACACTCTTCCTGCACACGAAGGACTTAGTTAATATCCGAATGACGTCACACACAAATAAAAAGACGACAAAATTAAAAAAACAAAACCTGGCACTTGGAAAGAATAGAATATAAACATCTGTACAGATTTTTCTTCATGCTCACGACTGAATATTTCTCTTTAAGATGTACTGGTGTCGGAGAGTCGATGGTACTTGCTTGGGGAAAGAAACGCGACTTTGATTAACACTGCCACCTCTTATCAAGCTGTGTGACCTCTGACCCCTCCAGAGAGATGAAGTCAAACACAGATGCATCGCCTTCATAAAGAAAACTGCAGATAAATTTTGTTTTTCCTGTAACATTTTTTTTTAAACACAAAATATAAATAGGTGATCGGCTGTGTAACGATAACTGACACACATTTAAGTTACGTGGTTATTTCTTGCTTACAAACATGATGAACTTCTATCAAATGAGATGTGCTTTCCAAACAATGTGATATTAATATACAACTAAGAAGTCAGTAAATGTCATTTTCTCCTTCATTTTTCTTTTTCTTTTCTTTTCTTTTGTTCCTTTTGAGCCTAATATACATTTATATAAAACCCAACAACAACAAAAAAAACAAAAACAAATCCTTTTTGGATCCATCTTTCCAACAAAAAAGAACTTATGCCTGTCTTTTCAAAAGCACAAATCATTTATAAACAAAAACTCTTATATCCTCTTTAATACACATCATTGACATACAGCAACCAGCTGGGAAACCATGAAACTGCATCACTACGCAAACCTGGTGGTTACACACGTAATCACGGCTCTGTGAAGAAAAGTCGACACGCCGCCTGGCTCATTTGTGTCGACCACAGTTAAACAGGAAGTCTTTGTTGCTTTTGTTTCCATTTTCTCTTACTTTTGTGATGCAGTGCAAACAGAAACATCATCCCGTGTACTCACTATGTCACTTGCCTTCCTCCAGACTAGAACTTGCAGACTCCTCAGACTTTATAAAAATGGACATCAATCACCAGTTTGACACATTTGATATCAAAGCAAGGCTTTGAAATAACTTTATATAACTTTTTTTTTCTTCAAAAAACACAGTGAACCCAAATGGATTTTAAGTTCATGGTGGGTCCTGCTGGGAGTACACGTTTTGCCACTATGCTACAGTTCTTCTTAGGCTCGCTTTCTTTCCTTTTCCATCCCATCAAACGAACATTCGGTGACCTTCAAACACATCTGTTCCAACCCATCACATCAAAATACCAGACTCTGATACTCTCCACAACCTACAAAATTTGATGCAGGCTAAAATAAAAACATTTTATTCCTCCATCAGGTTTCTCTCCAACACACATCCCATTTCTCCTTTCTTTGCTTACTTCACTTTCCCCATCACATATCCATCGTTCCGCCGGCATTGGTCTCGGTCTGTTTTTTGTCACTGGTTGTGCTCAACAAGAGTCAGAACTGTAAAACTCACATGATGTCCAGTGGGAATGTTGATATGACAAAGTAGTAGGAGTAGTCTCTTTTTCTTTTTTAAATTTTCTCTGAAAAGCATGACTGAATGCTGGCTGCTGCTGGGTAGTTGCCGTTGTGATCGTTATTTTTTTGTGAAATCCCCTTTTTCTGTACAAAGTCCAACTCCAAAGATGAGTTCCATGTGAAATGGCAGTGGTGATATGGGAGATCCTCTTCTAGCGTCACAGAGTTGCTATTTTAAGCCTGAAGCACATGGACAAGAGAAACAATCAGTTTAAAGCAACAGTAAATGATGAGCTTCAGTACAAAATGCCCCCCCCCTCCAAAAAAACATTATCAGTGATAAAAATCTGAATACTTCAATTTTAAATTATTTAAAGGACATGGCTGGAAACATTTCATATTCGCACTCTTGTCTGTAGAGCCCATTAAAAGACAAAAACTAAAATGGTGTCTTTTTTCCATTTAAAATAATTCCCTGCTCAATTTTTTGGTTTAGTATTTCTGCTCTTACAAAATAGTTTCCACTCATAAGTGGAAGCTACTGAACTCCATATGCTCCAGGCACAATCCAGCTGCTAGACAGATTTTGTGCGAGTTCGTGAATTGTCGCTGTTGTCACTAGTCTGTACCAGACTTACTAGTAATTTAATGTAATTGTTAAAAATTTTAATTGAGGCCAATGCCATAAATTATTGTGTACCAAATGTTAAGCAGCCATCTGCCAGCAGATGGCACAATGCTGTAGAGAAACACGATAAATCTGTTAATCCAGGCCTCATCTCTTTGTTAACACTACTGATCGCTTTCTCCAAAAGATGGATGGGCTCTCCCTTAGAGTAGAGTTGCTACTCCTTTCACACCATATTTAACATCGGTTTAAGTGTTTTTTTCTTCTTCACTGTCTGTCTAGAGAATAACGTGTAATATTGATAATGCAGGATGCAAGGTGCTACACAGTTAAGCAGCATGATTCATTATTGTAAAATGGCTTTGTTATTAGTTTTTGACATTTTCCATTAAACGTTTCTCAAATTTAAGTTAATATTTGAGTGTTTCTTAGTTTTAGACTAGTTGGGCTGTCTAATTTTCTAAGGTTAGTCTACTAAGAAATTACTCACCAGGTGCATCCTTAATCCTGTGGCATACTTTTATATCCTAGTATTTAGTATTTAAGTATTTAGAGGACATGACATTGTCTTCTGTCACTGTCCCTGGATGGATGTGTCTTATATAACACATAGCAGTAAATAGCAAATGTGTGCATGCATCTATCTCAGCTGCTAGTGTACTGTGCAGGGACATCAGTGGAACAACAAGACAAAAAAATATCACCAGCCATTTCCTTAAAAATATCACACCAAAACAGATTTTCTCAGCGTTGAAACAGCATGTTACTATTAAAAGTTGTGAATGCCAATTTGAATCTCTTTCTTGTCAGCAATCATATGGCATTATCACAGCACTTGAAAAATTGTGTCACTCTTAAAGCGTCAATCATGTCAATCCAGATGGAGAATGGAGGCGAGAGACAGCAAAACAGATGCTTAATGTGCTGTGTGAAATCCTGCGTGCGCTAAATGAAGTGAAGACGACTCACCTGATGATTCATCCTTATCATTACCTGTAGCTGGAAATTACAACAAATACCAAAAACCATACCATTCTATCTAAGATCTAGCCTTTGAAGTATTTCCTACGACAGTACGTTGGATGGAGATGAAAGAACTGAATGGCCAGTGATGAACATGACTGAGATAAAATGCTGTCAACGAAAAAGGCAGTGAGGTCTGACATGAGGATTCTGGCAGAGGACAGGACGACAGCAGTGAGGCAGTTACTGAAGCTCACCCAGATCAGCTTAAATGGTCAATCACACTCTAAAGAAAACTGTTGCTAATGTACTGTAACTAGTAAATGCACACAAAACACACCCAAGTTGTTTCATACGATTTCTTGGATGAGGAACTGCTTCTTCTACCCAGCACATTTAATGAACTGGGTATGCCTAGAGTGTCATTTCCTGACATTTGTGTCCTCTATTTTGCTTTACAAGGAAAACAAACAACCAAGTAACATCTGCTTTAGGAGACAGGCTGGGTGGCAGCTGGTACGATCACACAAACTCTAAGCAGAAGACTTTAAGTGGTGTCTGGGACAGTTTTTTGTAAAAGTGTTATTTTGTCTGAGCCTTTCCGGTTGTTGGATTTCAGTTTTGCGTTCTGTGACGGTGACGACACCAGCAGAGCACTTTTGGCAGCACACTGACAAAAAAACAAACAAAACAAAAACTGGGTATCGGTTGTGTTACAGTGTGACACCTACAGGTCCTAACCAAGCATCCATGTTTAAGGATGCTACTAATGTACGGTACATGACTGTTTAGAGAGGCTTCTAATAAACGTTTATCTCTAATGGTGAAAAACAGCATTTAAACAAACAGTAGTAGAGATGTGTTTGATTCTCTCTCAACCACAGAAAAGTTTCTTTCTGTAACTTACACACAATATGATAATCTAAGTTACATAAGCCTATTTGAAATCACTCATACCAGAAATTTAAACACAAAACTTTCAAATCATCTACTTCAGATCTTAAAATATATGCACTCGGAATTGTGTCTCCTCTCCAAACACAATATATGGGAGTGCAAACTTGTGTGGGTTCCTGCATATTATACACACTGATTTCTGCCATCAGCTTATCAACTTGCATGAGTTCTTTATCTGAAATCGTCTCGCTTTGACCCGAGATATGTCGTGTACGACAACTGCAGACATAGTATGTGTGTGTGTGTGTGTATCTTTTTCTTTTTCCGTGCTGCTTTTCATTAAGGCAAAACAGAGTCCCTGGAGGATCTCTCAAGAGTGCAGAAGAATGATTCCCCTTCATCATTTGCTGCCAATTTCAGCAAAGACTGTCAGGGGGAAGCAATGAGTGAGGATAGGTCTACATTTGAATGAGACGGGTGGTGCTGAATTGTGAACAGAGGACCAGCACCACCCTTCTTTTTATGTGATACAGAGAGTAGAAGTTTTTTGGGGGAGGTTTAAATATTAACCATTTGTTTTCTTGCACTTTCAAATTCTACGCAAAACAAATCCTCAAAAGTTGTTTACAATGTAATTTCTATGCAAAGAAAGAGGTGATTTCTCCACCTGACTGATCTGGGTGCAGGGTGACAGCAAGTCTACATGACAAAGTGTGAGGGTGAGAGGAAAACAGGCAGAAATGAGGAGCAGGCGGAGGATGAAAAGGATGCAACATGAAAGGTGCGAGGAGTTTCTCCTGTTTGCGATTTCAATTTTTCAGACCTACCATGCATGCATTTAGACCCAGGAGTCAACAGGCTGGGGCTTAACATCACAAGCGTCCACCAGACTGACTGCAGGCCTGTTACTCCTGATATAGTGTTTCCTATTTGTGTCATTCTGTAGCCAAAGGAGCACGGGTTAAAAAACAAAACACAGTCAAACATAAAAAGAGGTCAATACATTTCACATGTACACTCCTGCTTAAATACACATGCATCCAAGATCAGAGAAGCCGGTGTTAGTTCCCTGCCTTAAGGAAAGCTTGGAAAGAACTCGGGTTGATTACAAAACAGCGAACCAGAACATGCAAAAGAAAGAGGGAAGAGAGCGCGTTTTGGTAGCCAAGTTGCATTCAAAGCGGGCTGAACACCTCTGGGAAGTACAGGCAGCAGACTTAAAAGACAGCTTTGGAGCGATGCTAGCAGGCCTGTACACTCTGAAGACAAACAACTGTTTGCTGTGATTACCGCTGCCTTCTGAGCTGAATAAAGTGTTTGTGCTTTTAAGATGTGACACTATATCTTTAGCTCTAGTTAGCCTAAATATAGTTGTCACTGAAATATACTTCAGAAGCTGCTACACTTATTGTTGTTATTCTGCCTTCTGAATGAATGAGAAGTTTGGCTTTACTTTGTTCACTCAGCTGAAAAGCCTGAAACCCAAACTGTGATCGGTCCTATTATTTGCCCACGGTATGTCCACCACTACTAGCAATAATGGTGTCGTTAGTCAGGACTTGACACCTATATTCTTAAAACTTTGGTTTTAACTCATTTAAATAATGTCAGTGTAGGGAAAAATCTGTTTAAATCAGAGGTGATGGTAGAGCCTGGAGTCCAGCACAACTTTCCTGCTGGAACGCCCAAAACAAGATTATTTTTACACTAGATTGTCATTCTCTTAAGAACTCCAAAACAACTACATTTAATAAATGTTAGAGAAATTTGTTTACATTTTGTGTGTCTGTAAATATTGGCCAATATATTAAGTGACCAAATATCGATCTAAGAGCCCACAAAATAACTTAAAACTGACAGGAAACTTTCAGACAACTTGACATAGTGATTATACGTGTGTGATTATACGTGCTACACTGAACACATCCGAGAATAGGAGGTGGGATAATTTGAAAACTTCAGCCACAGAGAGCAGAGAAACATTGCTTTTCCCCATTACAGTGACGTCCTGAATATGAACATACATTTTAAGAAACATTTTAGTCCTCAGATAAGATAACACAGAATGCAAGGCCCAACTTTAAACCTATATAACAAATAAATAACAAAGAAAAGAATAATAATAAAAAAAATAAAGTTTACTCTGTAAGAAAGAACATGCGCCCATGCTCAATCCAACAAATTTGCCTTACAATAGCTTACAGGTAGTTTATGATAGCTAATGCTAACAGGCGGGTGTTTGGTACTGGCATAACAGGCAGGTCACCAAGTCTGAGGCCATGTTTGTAGTACTGCTTAAAATACCAGTACTGTAAAAATATAGTTTATGATCTCACAATGGACCTAGGTGCCCTTTAACCTCTTTTTTTATTAGCAGCCTGTTGCAAACAAACTGTAGGCGGCGTTGCTTCTGTGCTCACATCCTGAGCGATGTGTTGAGATGACCGTCAGAAGGACATCATCTCTCTGTGACATTATAGAGAGCAAAGAGTAGAAGAAGCTGTCTGAAATGAAGCCAGAAACTTTGGCTCACGGGGATTACTTACACGTACACTGCGCTCATTATCTGAATGTCTGGCTATGCTGAATGTGAACATCTACAATTTTAAACAGCAAAGAGAAAATGAGGAGCAGCTAAGTACACATGAAGAAAAGTAGCTACATTGTAATTTTATGCACCTTAAACTATGATACTGTTACCCACTTCACGCAAATATCAAGCTAATATTCTAGTTGGACTTTAGATAAAAACAACAAAACTACATATTTTAATCTGAAAGGTAAATTTAAATCACTTTAACACCAAAATATAATCACGTGCTACTTTTGGAGAAACAAATATGTGAAAATACATCAAACATCTAAGCTGAATCATTCATTTTTGAGCCTCGAGGGCTAATCCCGTCCATATTGTGTTAACGAAGATGAAAAATAAACAGCGTAAAGTACTTGAAAATCATCCTCTGAGGCCACTAGCCCGTGACTCTGCTTTGAGGCTGGATTGCCGATCAGCTTAACACGCTGTTGTGTGATGTGTGTGTATAATCAGCAGACGACCATTCGATAACACGGCGGTCTGTTCATCGCCAAGGCAAGGGTTGTCTCCACAAGGAGCACTTGTTGGCGGTTCTTTTAATCAGTCTCAGATTAATTACTTTACAGACTCCAAATGCTTACACTCAATTAACTGCTAGCTCACAGATCTGAGGCTGTCCACAGCGCTCAGCTGCGGTGGCACTATTAGCAGAGAACGACAACTTCCAGCCTCTTTAAAGAATCGATAGGATTAACAGCCTCTAATGAGGACCACCATTGAAAACAAAAAGAGAGAGAGAGACGAAGAGGACGTGATGATATTTCAATGAGGCATCATTATCTCGTTGTCTATTCCCTGTTCCCCCAGGAGATCAGAAGAGCTCTGTCCATACCTTTAATGGTTCCCGTTCTGTCAGGTCCACCGAACCGTCGCCGGTCTTGTATTTGCAGTCTTTGTCCCTCTGGTCAATGGTAGAGTAACCATCTAATGAGGTCAGAGAACAATTGTCAGATAATTCCTCTGTTTCCCTGATTATCATTGAACTGAGACAAATAGTTTAGAAATGTATTTTAAACTGTGTGAAGAGGCAGCTTTTCTGAGTGCCAGGAAAGAAGAGGAGACTACACGTGCCTCCAAATTCTCAAGCCTCTTTCACACATGAACTTTAGATAATTTAAATTCTACAGTAGTCCTTTCTCACGTGTAAGACACGCTTAAAAGAAAGCACTCCATGTGATTTAGGTGAGGGAGGTGCTGGAGCAACGTGTAGAAGACAGGACACATGACGCCCACCTGCTGGAGGTGAATGCACTGGAATATTAACAGCACGATGTGCACACGACTGCAACCCGACATCACACAGACTAGTGCTAGGGAGCTAGCTAATGCCTGATGTGACTCTGTCAGACATTTGCATTCTCACGTGCACCTCTGCTGGGAAAGTCCTAGAAAAGGTCAGAGCTGCAGTGCACGTGTGAAAGCAGTTTCTGCTCCTATAAACCTGCCAGTACTCGTGTTACTTACCCTCAGTGCGTCTCAAACAAAACACATCAAGCAAGTGAGATATTAAGCGTGTCCTTAGAACAGGCCTTTAAATGTGTTTTATGCATTCTGTAGCCTGGGGCATTTTATTTATCAAGTCTCAGAGTAGAGGATGTCACTTCTAGGGGTAATGCTGTTTTTAAAGTGTCAAGCATTTCGCTTAAACCATCTAACTAAGTTCAGTAAATGCTTGTGATGAGGTAAAAATGTGCATTTGAGTTTTAAATACCATCATTTTTTTATTTTTTTATTTATTGCTTAAAAATGTTTTGTGTAATTTATTTAGATTTTTCGGGGGGTGTCACCCTGATGTGCCGAGGGTTCTGAGTTCTACCTTCTTCAATCAGGAGAAGCACTCCTCCTGATTAAAAGTCAGCACAGAAACCATCATAAATAAATCTCAAATTCTGCTTTGAGGTAAGAGAATATGTAGTCCTGATTTAAATATCTGCACAACTCCTCTGTCGGTTTGTGAGTTGCCTTATAAGGAACACCAGCATTCAATAACACGGACTCAAAGGCACTTTCTGTTGCTCTCTTATTTCCCAAGGGGTCCCCCACAGTGGAAAGATGAGCATATTTGATATGGCACAGATTTTATGCCGGATGCCCGTCCTGATGCAACCCTCCTATTTGTAAAAAATAATCTTATTCTCTGACCATCAGCGATCACAAATGAATACAGGAGAGAGCTACAAAATAGTCAAAGTTGCAAATTACATCTTTAAAATCTGCTCTTTAAAGGAAGCACGGTGGAGAATCTATCCTGTGATATTCTAAAAGTATATTCATTAAGTAGTAAGAGAACAACCCAAATCCTTTGGTGTTGAGCTTGTGATACAGGCCCAGCTTTGTACAAACATCTTGTCAAGAGAGGGGTCGTGCATACAGCATCAAAAAGCATCATGTCTGAAGCTCGGTCCAAAGCAATCATACAAAGTTGAGAGGATTTAGTGGGCGAATTTTCAGATTAAAAAAATATCTTTGACGTCAAATCAGAGGATTGGACTCTGGAGTGAGATCACAGGAGAACTAGCTCTTCCTTGGCTAAGGACTATCATGCAGTCTGGCTCTTACCTGGGCCCAGCTCATCCATAGGTATCATATCACCACTGCCACATTTCCTGGTGCCTGAAAAGCATTCATAGGCCATTTGTACAAAAGCAGCACACACACAAACTGAGTCACTGAGCCAATGCTGATGCTGCTTTTCAGGGCGATGGTTCTCGGCCAGTGATTGAATAATGCAAACTGAGAGTGGGCAGACATGAGTGCCGCGATTCATATGAATGTATGGATGCAAAAATAAAGAAAAAAAACTGCTGCTATGCTGCTGACTCCTCTGTCAATGAGATGTTTGTTGTTGGGCCAACATACTTCACAAGTCCCCTTCCCACCCCCTTATATACACTGCTGTTACAGAAAACCTCTATCGCAGCACCTTGCAGATGCAGCCATACACGCTGGCTTAAAGTTGAGGACATTTTCTTTATCCCTGACACCATTACGCCAGTCAAAAACTCAGTCTCTATAAATCCAGCTCTTAACTTTTTAAAATTCTTTATTAATGTTTTTTTGGACCAAGGTTTTTGTTAACAGCAGCAGTATGCTTTCTGAAGTTGTAGTTACCATTTTATGTGCTTTATTTTTTAACCGCTATGGACAAAAGCATTACTGCGACATTTCACACCAAAGCGTCACCATGAGCAGGATGAAAGTAGTAGCAATGTGCAAACACTGCGCTTCAATATAGCCATGAGGCGGGGGAAAAGCATACATGTCCCCAACAAGTAACACACACTGAGTCAGATGCTTGCTCCAGTAATCATTAGCACTTGGTTTGAACCTGCTTTGAGGACTCCAGCGGTAGGGTTACTCTATGTAAATGTCCACCAATAAACATGTTGTGCTAATGCTGTGCTGTAATTTGGGTATGCAGACTTAAATAGTGACAATGTTATAAAAATCCAGTGACCCCCCCCCCCCCCCAAAAAAAAAAAACTAAAACAAAACTAAACCATGTTATTAAGAAGTTACCTGGATAATATTTTCCTTCAGTGTAGTAAACATGGGACTCCTGCTACCAAAAATGACAGCACGTGTGTATTCATCCATGGCAAAAAATAGTCCAGTAGCTCATTTTGTATAACAAAGGACAGAATCTACACTATCCAGCTGATATTTGTACTTATTGCTTTTTTTTCTTCTTCTTTTTTTGTTTTTAAATTGAACTGATCAACCTTAGTGTATTTTAAAATATTAAGGTCTTCGCATGAAACAGCTTAGTGTGAATATGCACATTTTTTAAAAAGGAGATGGGTTGCAAAGCGGCCTGGAGATTTGCACTAAATATAACCATGTCAAAGCATCCTAATTAGTACTACCTATTATTGGTATCAACGAAGCCGTTAGCTGTTAACCTCCTAGGACCTGGCGTCCACATATGTGGACATCCCATTTTGGGTTGTCTAGACCAAAATCCTTAATTTTGCTCTGCAAGGGCCGGATATCCACTTATGAGGACATCATACTGCCACTGTTCTATCGAAATTTAAAGCGAATGTCCTCATATGTGGATCTTATTTTTCTCAGGAACAAAAATCAGGTAAAAAAAAAATTCACATAACTCTTTGTTTTTACATGGCTCAGGTCCCAATCAGCCCAAATAGCAAAGAGAAATTAAAAAAGCATGCCGTGACAGAGTTCGGGTCTTAGAAGGTTAAAGTCTGGGACTTCTATCTGCTAATCTGCCACGACTACTAACTGAGAGTAAATTCATGGTCAGCATGACAGTGAGCTCACTTTCAGTTTTGGAGTTCTTGAAAATGGGGGAGGGGGGGGGCACCTTTTATCATCAGTCTGATGGCTTGTTCCCACTGGACGGGTAATTCATCCCATATAATGGGGAGCAAATTAAAACATCTGCAGCTAATGAGACTGTTCCCATTGGATGGGTATAAAACATAACTTGACAACTTGAAGAGACAGAGATTTATCATTCGCTCCTCGAGGTTGACAGAACAGTGAAAAGAAAATCAGCAACTTGACAAAAGGGTGCGAGGACCTTAAATTAAAAAAACAAAACATATGGAGGTCATATGGAGTAGTTACTGCACACATGAAACACTAAAAAAGGATGTAGCTACTGTCTTTATTTTGATCTTAGATTTTTGAGGATTACACATGTGACAAGAGACCTAACATTATTCATCTCGTTCTTCATGAGGTCAATAGGTGGACTACTTTCTAATGAGCTACACAACAATGTCACTGAAGTGGTCTTCATTTTCCCCCGACCTCGTCCTACCCCCTTTAGTCCTCGAAACAGACACAAACAGCAGTATACACTCTACCACACACGTGCTGACTGACCTTGGTTCTTCTCCATCAGCGGCAGAGTGGTGTCATCGTAGCCCGGCTTGCCGTTCTTGGTTGCTTTAGGAGTGGCCGTCACAGTGAGCTGAGAGAGGAGAGGGAGCAGGAAGCACATCGTAACGTCATAATACAGATCAAACAGTTCCCAGTATGGAAAGATTGAACTTTCTCACCTAATGTGGGGTACGAACTGAACGCATAACAATTCATAACATTTTACGAGATAAGTATCAGAAATTAATTATGTTGTCTCGATGATGTAAACATGATATTGGTAACAGCTTGATTCAAATTTTAGTCGGTGGAGATTTATTGGAAATTATTTTACAATGTCAGGAACAGAAAACCGAGCCACTCTCAAAACTATTTGAATGAAGCTGCTTACAAAACATTCTTTCAACCTTCTGAGCGAACAATAACAACACTCTGGATTGACATTATTTGTAAAGGACGACTTTGGTTCCATACCTGGAAGTGGCTTTTGTTCCACCCGTCCTTGGCCAACGCGTTCCTCAGCTCCTTATAACTCCACACTGTCTGCAGCACATGGGACGCTGCCTTCGTTTCACGTGCTGATTGGCTGAAGAGGCCCCCCCCATCCAAAAAGGAGGAAATTAGTAGAAGAAGTAACTAGATCAATTAACGTCAGTAACCTCACGTAATCACAAAACTGTAACAGCTGGGCATGCTGGCGAGGCACCGCTGCAATCAATCTCTTCATTCAAAGACTTTTGAGTTCTCCGGGCAGTTTCAGGGTCTAGTTTTTAATTCACAGCCAGATGAATACACATTGCCTTTCATTAGCTACCTCTGAGCCACCAGTATTAATTATATGTGGGTGCGAGGGAGGGGGCTCACTTCAAAGAAAGCTAATCTCATGAGGCTGAGAGGAAACACTAGCTATTTGGTTTGTGAATAAACTATGTATATTCATGCTTGTTAAAGTGACTCTGGATGATCAATACATCACCGCACAAGGACGGGCCTTTGAAAACTGCATTTAAAATGTGGTGCGGCTCTAACACGCCTTTATTTGCAGTGAGTAACAATGTGGTTATATAAGACACCTCTTGAAAATATTAGCCTGAATATCTTAATTTTCGCTACTAGTTGCCGAGTACAACTGAGACACCCACTGTAAGAACGGCCTCAACTTCTGAAAGCCTGTTTATTAATGTGAGGTGGGCAGTGGCTCGCGCCGTCACAAGACGCGTTACATTATTCATCCTCCATGAATACTAATATGAAGGCTCATGATGAAATTGCATACAAGGTCATACTATAATTATGTCTCAGTAGTAAGGCCACACCTCGTGCAGAGCTTATATGGATAACAGCATGCTGCTTCAGTTTGACTCAGTGAAGAAAAGGGGAACGCAGTCATAGAGCAACGTCAATGCAATATTTGTCCGACTGTACTTAAAAAATCTTACCTGGTCCTATTGATGGCGACCAATTTCTCGATGGCCTGGGCCTGGATGAGGGAGCGTGCGTTTTCAGAGCTGTCGGTGACGATCTCGTGAATGGTATTGAGGATGGCCACCACAGTGTCCTCCTCCAGGTTCTTGGCTGGTCGCTGCTGACCGCTGGGCAGGTTGCTCACCAAGTCCCGCATGGCATAACTTCCTATATGGTGAATTAGTGTTTAAGGTTAACCATGTGACAGTGACAGGGAGAATAAGAGTCAAACACAAAGCACTCTGAGAGCACAAACCTCCAGCAGCTCCCTTCCTGGGCAGTATTTCCTTTTTAGGAAGTTTCTAAATTTTAAGGCTTTGTGTCAAATTTCCCAAAATAAATCATTAAGCTGACCTCGGAGACTTTGGTGGATGTAAAGCTAATTTTAATGGATTAATATGACCCCACTCTACAGTGTTACAAAGTTTTATCAGAATTCATTAAAAAAAGTTTGTGAGCTGTTGTGCTTATAGTCAGATGGATGACACGCATGCAAAAACACAACCTCCTTGGCTGAGGTAATTAACATCTTCAAAATGAGTAATAAATTATGTTACATCTTAGCAAGTCAGGTACTACTGAGTCTTGTGAGCCTCGTAAAATTGCATGAATAGAACAGTTTGTCCAAAAGCTTGCATTTAATAACATTTGTGTTATTCGTTTTTAACATTTTTTTTAAAATGTCAGTTCTTCTTTAATGACACTCCAGTAGGGATGGGTACCGGCTTTTTTTCCTGAGCTGTGATACACTTTAGATTCTAGCCAATAATTTTACGTTTCCGAGGACAGTAGGCGGGTCCAGGTACGTGCGTTCTTTTAGAGCAGAGCTACAGATTAAAAATGCCCAAGGCGAAGCGGTCAAAAGTCTGGCTGTACTTCACAGCAAAATATGCAAACTCAGCAACAACAAGTGCTTTAAGCTGATACTGTGATACTGTCAAAGGAGGTAACACCTCAAATCCGATGAAACACCTGGCGACGCATAGCGTTTTTTTTTAAAAGCCCAGAAATGCACCGTATGATAGCTTGCTGCGAGACCTCACACATCTACTGTGCGTAGGTTGCCTGTTATCGGACCCGGAGTTAGCAACATCCCCCAAAAACCCGAAGAGGAGAGTCCTGGCCCCTAGCCCTGCCAGTGTAGCAGAAATGATGAGGATGATGATGCAGCAGCAGCCGTTCTTCTCTGCGTGAGTAGCTTAATGTTGTTCGCGTGTAATTTACGTTGAGTAGGCTAACCACGTTATTACATTAATGCAGGTAAGGTGAACTAGCAAACATCATCATAGCTACATGCGGCTGTCTTCTTGTTTGATGGCAGATGCTCCCTTCACCCTGGCCAAAAAGGCTAAAATGACCAAAGAAAAAGAGGAAAACAGCTAAACATGAGAGGTTTTGGACAAAGTTTGTGTTTTTTCCATTGATTAAGCACTGCTTCCAGCCACGAATGATACCATATATGCCCCATAGCTGCAGAAAAGGCTAACATTGTTACCTTTTTACAAAAAACAGCTGAACATGAGAGGTTTTGGACCAATTTTGTGTTCTCCATTCTTTAAGCACCGGTTTGAGCACCGTTTGAGCACCGGCACCGTTTCAAAAGTACCGATTTGGCACCGGTATCGGATAAAACCTAAACGATACCCATCCCTACACTCTACTGTCCACTTGTAACACTGACATGTAGGAATCTGAGTAATGAAAATACACAAACTCTCAAGCGCAGCAGCTTCACATTTTCTATGTGCCCGTAAATAAAGTGACACCCTTTCTAATGTGATTCCAGACTTATGAAACAAAGTCTACAATCCTTTCATGTAAAAATGCTTTCCCATCAACTTAAAGTAGCAAGATGAACGGCGTATACGATGAGATGCAATGGATGGACTTTGAAGGCTTATCATAAGGAAACTATATCAACAAAGGGAAAAATTGGAGGTATAGAATCATAACTGCATTCCCACCAACTAGTGGTCAGAACATGCATGTTAGAATTATTTTATGAAAAGACTTGTTAGCCTTTTAAACAATGTGGTTCAAATCGTTCACAGAATAATAGCAAACCTTCATTGGTATTACTGCAGTAGCCATCCAAAATAACATCAACAACAACAACTGTGTGGCTTTGCTAATTGTTTGTACCGATTAGATCCTTGTTGCGGCGGTCAATGGACAGGTTGCGCAGAGCGATGGCCACAGCTCGGACCACCTTGTCAGAGTCAGAGCGCAGCAGCTCCACCAGGATGGGAAGACCTTTCTCCTTCCGCACTGTGGCTCGGATGTAGCTGGACCACTGAAGGGCAAAAGAAGGGCATGCTGTGAGTGCTTTTTATATTCTTTAGAATTTTATATAAGTACTTGAATCAGCCCTAATATCAGTGCACATCCTTTCATTTGAGGCCCCGAGGTAAGTCCCACTGAGGAGCCTAGTGGATCTCTGTGACACCAGCACAGAGGGCGAAGACACTTCTGCAATATTCTCCACCCGTGCATGGCCATGCACACTCAGAAAGTCGTTCTGTAACTACAAGGCAGCTCATCACTGCTCCTTAGGCATAAGTAATTCACAACATCACACAGTGGGGCTCTGAATGGACATGTGATATAATTTGTCTTAATTTAAACATCAGTAGATTTTACTTCTCATTTTTTTGTAACATGAAACACTAAGCTTGACATAAAAGGGTTTCTTCTTCGGAGTGCTGATAACCCAAGAGATGTAATTAAGCAGAGGACAGTCAAAGCTGAGCCACCAGGTGGCAGTAGTAAGCCTTGGAAATAAGGGAAATCTCCCCTGTGGTACTAAGCAGAAGCAAAGAATGAGGAGGATTTCAAGCAGAAGCTCTGATATCCTCAGAGAGCAGGACACTCTTTGTCCAGCTCCCAGATGTGACAGTCTGGTGTGTTAGCAGCTCCACAGGTTACTGTTAGCCTGCTCAGGCGTTCTGATCATGCTTACTAGGGAAAACATCTAACAGGAAAGAGTTTTTCCACCTCCAAATACTCACCTTAGCTAAAAAACACTACATCTGAATTATTAAAAACATTCAATGAGAAACTCAGAGCTGAATCTGATCTAACGACACGAGGGAAAAAAAGGATCAATCAAGATTTCAGGTGATTTTCCTCACGTCTCTGAGGGCTTTTTGCTGCTGATGAAATCTGAGGACTGAAAGATGTATCTACAGTCTGACACTTGGGTGTTAAGAGAAGAGCTTTTGCGATAATGCTGCCGTGGGCTGAATACAGCCCATCTGCTGGAAAACATAAGTGACCGCTCTTGCCCGAGGTGCTGCGCGTAAACTGGCAGCTGACTACCAGCCATCCCTGTTGATAATTCACTACTTGCCTGCAAGCCAGACAGCAGCTCCACAGATGCTCTAACTGGAATAAATGTGTAGACCTGACTGCACAGCTTCTCATCTAATCCATCATCAGAAGCAAAAACCTACGAGAGATGAGAGTGCTGGATAACAGATACAACACTTATCTAATATTATTCCACCTTGATGGTTATCATTACCCACCCTGTCTTGTGCTGCTGTCATGTTGATTTAGAGCTACTTAAATTGTTGGATCCCATTCTAAATGTATCTACACTTAATTTAGCTTCAATCTCCATCACAGAAACAGCCATATACTAACAACACTATTTATAGCATTAGCATTAACATTGCTGTTTTCACCTTTCTTGATCCAAGTGCAACCAGCCAGCAACACATTGTGCATGAGCTACCTAGAGCGAGCTTTAGTTTCCACACACATACTTTGGCCCTCAGAAGGCAGTCAACACATTCTCATCCCAGCGTGTCAACTACTTTGCTTGTGTTGTGGTTAGGGTTCAAAGTTGCCCTCTGTTGAAAAATGGCACTCTGTGTATTTAAACGTGACACCAAGGACTTCACAAGAATCCATACACACCATTCAGGCATAACAGTATGACTAATATCCTGTTGGTTCTCCTTTTGCTGCCAAAACAGCCGTGACCCATCGAGATATGGACTCAACTAAACTCTTGGAGAGTGTCCGGCACCAAGATGTTAGCAACAGATCATTGAAGTCCTGTAAGCTGTGAGGTGGAGGCTCCCATGGCTGCCCGTGACCCTGTTGCTGGTTCCCCACTGTTCCTTCCTTGAACACCCGACAAGTGCTGCAGTTATGGAGATGCTCTGATCGAGTCGTCTAGCCATCATAATTTAACCCTTGTCAAACTTTATAAAACAAAACTGGATAAAATGTTCACTTTCCCCCTGATATATCCCACCTACTAACAGGCGCCATGATGAAGAGTTAATCAGTGTTCTTCACTTCAACTGTCAGCAGTCATAGCCTGACATTGTGTATGACAAGTGGGGAGTAACAGATCCATCTTATTATTACAAGAAACCTGCAGCCATGGCACAGCCGTTATACACCACCAGCATCAACAAAAGAACAGTGTTTGTCTCCCAGGGAGGGAGAGCAGACTTGGTCTTTTTGCTACCATTGCAGGACATGTACAAGGTTAAAGATGAGGACAGAAGCAGTAAAAATATAAATGAGGAAGAAAAAAAGCCAACGGGATACGGTAACACCCCAACCCAGTACTCACAGTCCACTGTCCAGCGCTGAGGTTTTGCAGAGCCCCAGCAGCTGCCTCTAGGGTGTTATAGTTCTGGCTCTCCGTCAGCAGAGAGAGGTAGAGCCTCACCACCTCTGGCTGATACAGCAGCTCAAAGCCTGCAGGGAAATACAGAGAAACAAACACACTGGTTAGAATCGGTAGCCAGAAAGATAGGCTAGTTAGGCTGTGTGAAGGTGCTGAGGTCTAACTCTGTCCGTAAGAAATGTACTTTGGCGCAGCAAAACAGGAAAAGACGCTTGGGTTTGCCATAATGCACAACACCTCTGGTGAGAGCACACAACCTTGACACAAAATGACACAAAATTTGGACCGCAGTTCTTTCTGCAAACTTTCGAAAATGTTCCTGAGGACAAAACTATGCAAAACCGTGTTAGGAGCTGAAACCCACTGTGTCTATGTGGTTTTAAACAGCCTACAACTCCTTTATGAAGAAAAGCTGGAGCAGCGCCTAGTAAATTTCCACTTAGCAATACTAAAGCATTACCATTGAAAACACTTCAGAATTATAAATGAGGAGAACAGAAGAAGGAGAGGTTATTGATCCGACAGCCCTCACCAAACCCAGGGTATTTGAGAGGGAGGTTTATCTCGCTAGCACATAAGACATTCCAGCACAGTCGATCATTAGGCCTCCCTCTGATGGAAATGTAATTATATTATCAGCTATTAGACAGAGCAGGCACAGGGAGAGGCCGAGGTGTCGGATCGCATCAAATCAAATGTATTCATCCAAGGTTTTTCTTATTTCGCACTAACAAATGACTTACAGGGGACCAAAATGACACTTTTCTGATTCAGCGGGTGAATAGACACACTGATCTGCTCATCTTACTGGAGGGGGCAGGTCACATAGAGAGGGAACACACCCAACAGATTTTGATGACTTGACCGAAACACTTCTTTCCAGTTTTGAAGAACCAGCTATATTCTGCAAAGGAAGCACTCCACCTCATCTAATCTAAACAAAGCTAGAACTAATGCGACAGTGTTTCAATACAGGGGGCGCAAACAGCTTTTACCCACGCAGGCTTTAACAGACTTCTGCAGCCCAGATCACAAGCTAACTGAAGCTTTAAAATCAGCTTTTACAGAAACACAGCTTCCTTCCTATCCTCAACAGGAGTGCACATACAATTTTAAATCCTTCTTCTATCCCTCAGGTCCAAATGAAAGGATATATAACCCGCTGCTTCTTCCCATGTGCTCTGAGGCCAGTAATTCCAAGGTTCGATCTGAAAAGCTCCGTATTATAGGAGCTGGGATGCACAGTAACCCCGTTTGATTAATGCGCGCAGGTTCACGAGGCTCTTGGTACATTCTTGAAATGTAGAAAAAGATTTCTTTCCTTTTCTAATGTGACTTGGGCCCACATATAAAATCAGCAGTCAAAACCCATAAAAAGGCATCTTACGGTAATGTACCCTCTTTTTATTGACTCACTTTTTTAGTAGGAGACTAAAAATAGAGGAGAGTATCATTTTTGTGCTCAAGAAGTACAAGATAAACACATAAACTGACATTTGTGCTTCTAAATCCACATCTCACACTCATAATTTGCAGAGAGCGGAAGCCAGAGTGCTCTGACTGCCAGATTTCAAACACAGCAACATAGTAGTTAACACTCAAAAAGCGGGGTTTTCTTCCCCGAGACGCTTCCCCGTGAGATCACTCGACCAGAGGGCGTGTGGGAGGAACTGCCAGACTGGGAGATCGCTACTGGAGGTGCTGCTCCAGAAGTTACTTTCAAAAATGAAGCAGAGTGAGGAGCAGACTACCCCCCGAGTTGTAATCACGCGCTAAAACATGAATCACTGTTTTTTCTCAGGGGCTACGCAAGAAAGGGGGTGGGTGGGGATTACAAACCAGACACTCAGCAACATTCTTCACGCGCCTCATATTTCTGGGCCTACTGGGTGCACACTCAGCAAACTGGAACCTATGAAGCAGGCAGTCTTGTTGACAGACATTTCATCTCCAAAGCAGATTCTCTTTACACAAAATGTCAGCCACGTTAAACCTTTGGAAGCTTTTTCTGCACTCCAAAACTGTGCATACTATGGCTCTTTCTTTTCCTGTAACATAATCTGCAAATCCACACTCCCTCCATCTTGAAATTCTTGGAGTTTTGGTCTGGCACCCAAGCGAAGAGACTTATGAAATTGGAGTTTTACAAATGAAAGACGTGCACAGTTCAACAAAGGAGATGAAAATGGAGGGAGAAATTCACTAAGCGTTTAAACTAAATCCTTTAGCCTTAGTGGAATTTTCTCACTGTTGAGATGTTAAGTATCTCTGCCAGGCCCTTTTACTCAGCAGTTTTTAGATAGGGCTTAATGTCAGCACCAAGTCCCCGAGGTCTTTACTAATTAGTGCAAGCCAGGTCAAGTTCTGTTGGCAACTGTACACTGAAGTGTTGTTGTCGTCAGTCATCTCCTGCTTGCCTTTTGGCCCGCTGTTGTCAGTTTGTTAGGCAGAATTACAGTTTGGACACGGAGATGAGCTGTCAGTGTGACGTGACCTTGGCTCAGGGCAACCCACAGCCCTATAGTCTGTGATAGACTGCAAACACGGTGAGATTACTTGAATATGATGGATTCAATCCTGAGGTGTAGCATGGAGAGCATGCAAATCGACTTCTGAGTTTCCCCATTTTTCAACTATATAGCTAACTAAAGTTAAGCACTAGTACTTTATACTTCTCTTGCTAGTACAGAGAAGTATCAAAACCTTTTAGCAAAGCAGATTAAATACAAGATCATGTAAATACAAGCCAAAGTCCGGTATTTAAATGTTAACCATATGCTAGCACAATGTACTTTAATCTGCAATAATCTCCAAAAATGTGTGTGTTGATCTTTTTTGGCAAACTGATAATGGAACGAAAAAGTTCCTCTAAGCTGTAATTTTAGTTTTTGCTTCTTTCTGTTTGTTTTTCTTTATTGTTGTTTTTACAGCCTACAATTTTACTGCAATTTCACAACACTCATCGGTGCGGTTTCCAATAGTAGCACACGTCTGTTTGTAGCAGGCTGCAGCGAGTAGATCCCCGTAGACTGCCCTGTTAATATACCTCACTTCAGTGTGCTTACAGCCTTGTACCAACAATGCTTTTGGTAGCCATAGCCATTTTACCCCTTCATAACAAATGTAACTAAACTTAGCAGCATCTACCAGGCCTCACTAATTAGTTCCTTAACTGGACCTCTTAGCACCCTGCATGATATTGTTGCCTTCTGGAGTATCTGACAAATAGCGCAAGGTGTGAGGTGCAGCTTTCAAGTCAATGATGAGACCAGAGGGTGAAAGAAAATATTTACTTTGCACAGGGATGGAAGTGAATGTAGGTCAACATTTGGACTAACATTTGACATCTTACTAGTCGTAATTTTATCTGTTATACCAGGGGTATCAAACATAAGACCCAGGGGCCTGAATCAGCCCAGTAAAGACTAAACTGATACAAAACTGATACATATTGTTGAAATTACAATATGTTGTTGCTACATAAAGATATCTCAGGGATTAAATGTGTAGTTAAACTTCTTTTCACTGACAGAAAAGAGAGTTTCACTGGTCCAGCCCACTTAAGATAAAATGAGTTTGACTTCCCTGCTTTACACCACACAAAAGACTCCCGCTGAGCTCTGCTCTGAAGTCAGTGCGTGCAAACACACAAACACTGTCACACACAAACACAGAACGGCACAGTCGGTAACAAGCTCGTCCCTAAATGAGGTGAGAGGGGAGGAGAGGCGAGTTACTTTTCCAAGTAGATGACAATGGCGACAACTCCTCCAATCGAGGTGGAGCTCAATTATCAGTGGAGAGAGGGGGCTCTGTGGGGCCGCGGTGCATGAAAACTGGGTTAGAAATGAAGTTAAGTTGAAGTGATTGAGTGACGCTCGGTGCAGAGCTATAGCATTAATTCAGTTCAAGTGCTCACACTATTACCTTCGCAGACTGTGACAGGCCGGTAAATGATAATGGATTAACTGATGAGCAAGGTAGCAACGCACACACGAATCCACACGCAGCACATGTATGTGAGCATAATGAAGGCGCTTCTCTCTGATTCACACACTCATCGACTCGGTTCTCCAGAGCAATTTGCCTTGCTCTCAGACAGTTTGCTGCATTCAGGCAGAACTCGATACATACCTCTTCAAACAGCTCCATACACGCACACAAACACATCAAGCCCTTGTGATGAAAGCGATGTTCATCGACCAACCCCGACTAGATCAAGAACACGGTCTCCTTCTGCATCCTGTAAGCACTCCATTTATTCACTGCTCCATTTCCAATACACTAGGAGCACGCAACACTTCCATCTGAACAGGAAGGACATGATGCCCATCACTTTTTACAACTCATAGGAGAGAGTCAGAGGGGGATAAAGAGAGTGGCAGGCAGAAAAATAGAAAACAGCAAGAAAAAAGAAAGCATCTCTTATAACATACTGAAGTAATTTTCACATAACAGCTTTTTCCTGTTACTCTCATTGTAAAACAGCTCCGATTGAGCATCAGAGAAACATGAGGACGTGGAAGACAAAGTAAAAAAGTCCGGAGAAATAGCTCATAATGCTAGACTGACCACAGGATGACCTTCTCTTCCCGGATACATAAATCAGACCACCGCAGTGGGAAGCCTCAAGTCGTCGAGTCTCCACTCTTACACTCTTTAACCCTGCCAGTCCTCTTTATATTTATACCTCCTTATATAAGTACAAGCAGGCACATGGGAGAGTGCTACAGTGCTAATGAAGACTTCCGCAGGGCAGAGCCATAGCACGGCGACAGCTAAAACAGCACATCATTAAAAGTGGTACGCCACCAACATAATAATGGTCACGACTCTCTCGAGTTCATTAAAAACTAAAAGGTAAACGGTGGAGCCGTGTAAACAAAACAAGGAAATTGGCAGGCTATGCAGAGGCAATTCCAGTCGTACAGCGTTTGAAAATTTCGCTTTGTTGTTATTGTTGTTGCTTGGAGGAGCACCAGATGGATGGAGTTTACACACTGTGTCAGTTTTTCAAAACATGATTGATAGTAAGAATTAGACCGGCCGGAATTTATGCAATTTATCCGTC